AATAATGGAAGTGATCAGTGATTAAATGAACTGCACATATAATTGTATACATATGACTCAGGCGAATCACTTGCACTGAAAAGGACAGAGAAGGCTTAAAGAGGGAGAATTAGAATGATATTTGAGAGAAATACAGCTTGAATAAAGAGCAGGGAGCGGTGAAGTTACTTATGGCAGGTGGAGCAGGTTTACTTATAAAAGTAATCATAAACATTACTCATAATAACTGCATTGTTACTGATCCACTCATAGTAGAACATGTTGTTTTAGAGGTTTTGCTCCTTTTATCTGATGAGAATGAATTTACATTGAATGTAAACTTTCATCTAATACTCCATAAAATCCCAGATATCTCTCTTAAACTCCAGGCTTATGTACAAAAAGCTTGAATATCCCCTATTGGATATCCCACTAGGATTAAAACCATAGCATATCTAAAATTGGTGTGTCTAAAATTTTCCTCAAAATATGCTTGGTTTTTGCTTTTTCCCAAGTTTGGTTGCAGTAGCAACATTTATCCAGTGATAAAAACGTGAAAACCCAAAATTGTTTTGTACACTTTCTTCTTAGTCTTCAGATCTAATCAATAAATTCTTTTGTTTTTATCAGCAATCTCCCTTGCAGATGTACCCTCCTCCCTATGCCCTTGCATCTTTCTTAACTTCTTGACGTTGCTTGTCTGGGTTGTCATGAGAGCTTCTTACCAGATCTCATTGACCTCAAGATGTCATCAGATCTAACTCACCCAACTGCCAGAGGAATCATTCTAAATTCAAATCTGATTCTGTTGCTTCCTTGGCTTTAAATTTCACCATTCATGAAAACAGTGATTAGCTCTGCCATATTCATGTTGATAATAATACACATATAATGTTAACACTAAACCATGGGGCTAGCTCCACCTCTCTGGGGATCTTTTAAAACTACATGTACATTTTTAAAGGTTGTTCTCATAATGCAGTCTATAATTTCATTTAACTGGAAAACGTGGGATCATGAAGTTTTCACTTACATTACCACCAAGTATATGAAAAATACACCACCTGTTTTTTACATCTCATAGCATTGTTTCCACCCCACCCCCACACCCTTATCCTTATGGCAATTTTTGCTTTACCAAAATTAAGCAAACTAGCAGCCCCTAGGCAGAATCTGGTACACATATATGTTTCAAAGTATCGGGCTATAATTTAAGAATCGTGAGATTGTAAATTAACAGCTTGATTTCCAGCTTATCTTGAAAAGAATTGGAAAGTTAGAAATACTGTATATAATTTCCTATAAGATAATGATTATTTGAAGGTGAGGGGCTACTGCCCCCTTTTGACAGCCTGACTGCTCCATTTGTCCTCAGTTTACTCAGCTGCTTTCTTCTACCACACATCCAGTCTTTTAAGGCATTTGGGGCAGAGAAACACAGTGCTTGTCTTATCCTGCCCAATATGAGATGGGAAAGATTCTAGTGACTTTGTTTTTCGACTTTGTAGCACCTTCAGTGTTTACCATGGTGTTCATCTTATTTTGAATGTTCAATAAGTTAGTTTTGGTATAGTTGAATGATACATACAAATGAGGTGCTACAAAATCTTGCCAAGCTGCCTGAAAGCATGCATTTGTTTCTCAACTGATCAAATGTCTTGTCTCCCTTGTTAATTTGTTTAGCTAACCACCTGCGTATTTGTTTTCCTGTTTATCCCACCTTACTTGGCTTTAATCGAATGTTCCTAGATGGCAGAGTTCATGCATTTTAATGCCCTTTGTTCAAAAATGCATTAGTAAGCATCATTGCTGAATAATACTGATAAACACATGTAGAAAATATTTCTGCATCCTTTTATTACAATAGTAATTAAGTGATTAACTATGTAGGTAACATAATAGCATTATTGGCAAAAATAGACTTCCCAAAACACTAATTTGAGGCTATATCAAGTTGAGACTCAACTGGAACTATATTAATGTCTGTAATTAGGGTCAGCGTAGACCAAGGGGTCTCCAGTGGCTGCTAGGAAGGATTAATCACACAGATGCAATAGATGATAACATTAATGGCTTAGGTTAAGAGGGATTTGGCTGAGACTTCCCATGCCCCTTGACTAAGCGGCAAGGATGTGTTTCTTAGACGTGTAGCATCAGCAAGTCTCTTTGCAGCAGCACCTGTGCACAACTCGAAGTTCGAAGTTTCAGCAGCTTGGGCCTTTGAAAAGGTATTTGGAAAGTTTCCCAGGTTGTATGCTGCAGAAGCTGAAGGCAGTATAGTGATAATTAATAAAGTGCCAGACTGGATAATTGTAGGAACTGTAAAAGATACTAAAATATTGTTACCAGAGGCTCAGATGCACCTGTGAACGTGTGAAGTTAATTTGCCTGAGCAACGTTCCGTGAGAACGGATGGGGACAAGGGGGGTGAAATTTTTGTTAAATAATGCAGACTTCAGACAGGGTAGCTCTCTAAAACAAGAGAGAGAGAGAAAGAGAGAAGAGAGAGGAAAGGGGAAGGGAGGAAGGAAAGAAGGAGGGAAGGAAGGGAGGAAGAGAGGAAAGGAGAAAAGAAAGAATCTCCTGTTGGCATAGGGCTTATGAAAGGAGTTCCTCCTGCATTCTTTCATTATATATACTTCTCTGTGACCTTGACAAAAGTTTAAGAACTGTATTATTAGAGTTTTCTTATTCCCATAGGACTGGAATGATGGCATTGCCCTTTTAACCAATTTTTATATAACAATAAACCTCCTCTTGTGTAACAGTATACCTCCTGATACTGCAATGTGCAATGCTGAGTGAGAGGACCTTGTGTTCTATATGTCACCCTAAATCTCACACAGGCTAATATCTATCAAGTTTCAATATACAATAAGTTAATGAGAAAAAAAGAAAGGGTTAGAATGAAGATACCTCCCTCACAGCTTTGTCATGGGGCAGGAGGTGGGGGAATTATTGAGAACCACAGAATTCTAAGCAATTTCAGAGCTTATGACAGATGATAGATCAATGGTAGCCCTACTGTTGTGATTGTTGTTTGTTGTTGCTATTTTCATTATTATTGAAGTGGCTTTTCGAAAAAATGAAAAACAAATTCCTTGAGGTGAATTATTGCCAGTGATTATTCTGATCTTCTAAGTAGGTGGTACAAGATGGATGTATGTAGGCAACACCTCTTCTAAATCAACGTTACCGTGTACAAGTATTTTCTCCCAGAGCACTACATTCTCTTGCATATCTGGCTCAGAAATGAACAGACTGTGCTATTTCAACAACAATTCTCTGGGTGACTTACAATTCAATTCATTCTGATATTAACTGCTCAGAGTTAGTGAAGACCCCACGGGTTAAGGACTCAGTGCCTGCTCTCATTTCAGATATCAGCTTCAAGTCCTGAGACCCCAGGCTACTTGCATTTTTATCGGACTTGGTTTACAGATCTGGTGGTTCTCACAGTCTCCCTTCAGATTTGATAATTTGCTAGAATGACACAGAAAGAACTATACTTATGATTACCGGTTTATTATAAAGAATACAAATGAAAAGCCAGATGAAGAGGTAAATAGGGTGAATGGAGAAGGGTCCTAAGTACAGTCTCTGTCTCGGTGGAGTTGGGATATGTCCCCTCTAGGTACATTGATATGTTTACTAACAAGGAAGCTTCTGCAAATCTCATGGTTCAGAGGTTTTCTACTGAGGTTTTGTTACCTAGGCCCGATTGCTTAAATCATCGGCCATATGCTTGAACTTCAGCTCCAGTCCCACCACCCTCCCTGACCTCCAGGTAGGGTTCAAAGTTCTCGCTCTCTAATCAGGTGGCTGGTTCTTCTCCAGAAGCTATCTTGCCACACTCCCCCCACCCCCAGTCCTGGAGTCATCTCATTAACATAAACTGTGTGTGGTCAAAGAGGGCTAGTTATTAATTAACAAAAGACCCTTCTATCGCTCAGGAAATTCCAAGCATTTTAGAAGCTCTGTGCCAGGAACCAGGGAAAAAGACCAAATATATTTTTGATTATACCATGCAAACTTTGCCAGATATTGGTTCTTCTGAGTTTCTTATCCTTTCCATTGTCTTTGGGAATTTCTAAGTACTAAAACCTTGACTTCACCCTTTTCTGTTTTTCTTGGAGACCAGTGTTGTTGAAACTGCCCAGACATAAAATGTATACAATTATTTATACCTGTATTTCTCTGCAAAAACCATACAAATTAGTTTGCTTAAAATCCATGTACAGTTTATTTTTTTGTTTGCGTTTTGTAGGCTTTTGATGCAGCAACTCAATTTGCTTGCCTTCTCTTTAGATATGAAATTACATGTAATCTCTTTCCCAAATAAAACCATTTTCCCACTCTCAGTGTATTTATCCTTCACTTTACGTTCAAGTCTTTCTAACATTGGATTTATTCAATGGTAAAATAAAAAGCTCAAAATTAAACATGTGTAGTGTATTTGTTCATATTTCTATACCATATATACATATTGCGTATAATCAATTATGTATTTGTGTTTTAATCTGCCTCACTCTGGGAGTTTCCTTTAAGGAGATTTTGTCTTTAACATATGTCTTTTTAAAAATATAAATATACAACCTCAGAAAAAACAAAAGCGCAGAGACAGAAAATCATGACACCACAGAATGCCACTATTTCTTTTCCTTTTGATTAATCCAACATGCAAATATAAAAGCATTTTGGTTACTTAAGTTCAATGATGTTTTGCTTTTTTATTCTTATAAATGAAAATATTAACTTAGTCTTTAAGTGATAACATGTAGGGGAGATACGTTAGCAAAACTTTTCTTAATGAAGTGTCTAATATAGCCTCTCCAAGTTTCTATATCCATCTGTAAGGTCATACATATGTACATGCCTCCGCATACTTATAATACGAACGAGAAAGCCTATTTTACAATGTTATGAGGAGAATGGACATCTTTTTTTATACTTACATATCCAAATGCATGTCAATCTTTCCGTTATTAAGCTCTTTAAAATAATTGTTTTTTTATTTCTAGGTAACCTTCAAAGCATCAAGACATTCAGTTTCACCAGATTTAAAATGTGTTCTTCTGGCATATGATGTCAAACAGGTAAAGGAGTGATCTTTGAAGAAAAATTTTTCATTGTGCGTTGCATTCGAGTGACAGTTCATAGTTGTGTTGCATTCAAGTGAGAGTTCATAGTTTTCCTTGGTCATCTACTCAACTAGAGAAAATTTGACATATCCAGTAGGTGCAGGTGAATAGTGATAACCGATATTGCACAAGAGAGTTTTGGCAACAATGTCCTTTCTTCCACATGCAGCTAGCAAATAACTGGAGCAATCTGCTGGGTGCCTGTACTGGTCCAAGTTCATCGCTTTTGAAGGAGAGTGTGGCAGAGCTTAGCAAATCCAAAAAATGGGGGCTTTTGACAATTCCAGGATAAGCCTTAATATCTACTTGTGTTGTATGTATATGTAGATTAATGGGTTTCCTAATGGCTGTGCCTCAGCTGCAGTGTGTATTGTGGGAAGAGCTGGTGAAAACATTGATTCAGTTTATGGTCAAAGGATTCTTTGTTGGTGTTTGAGCATAAGCCTTGTGGTTGTAGAAATTTCTAGAAGTGGGGCAAGGCAAGGAATCAATTCTGAACGAATAAAGTGTTCTAACTGCAATTAGTATTTCATTATTCCGTGTCAGCTCTATAGCACAATTAGAGCAATATGTATGGTTGTGGCGTATTTTTACTCAGATATAATTTGCACTGTTAAAAAGCAAAGTAAATGTTGACAAGGCAGTTCAGCAGATTAGCTTCTGTAGAAAATAAATGATTTTGGAAATTATTCAAGAATGTTTTGTGTGCTTTAAGGCAGACAATAAAAATTTATAGACAAAGCAGGAAGCCTCATATAATGCATTGAAACCCTTCGAGCACATGGAATTTTACTATTCAAAGGACCTTCTACTTGATGGTTTTAGTCTTTTGAAATATACATGTGTTATATTTTTAGACAAGTTTATATTTCTTATTTAAAATAATTAATTTACACTACAAAAGGCTGGGAGACTGTAATCAAAGACATCTTTTTCCTGTTATAAATCTTGGCCCTTTTCCTTTACCTTTGTTCTGTGTTCTCTCTACTCATTGGGATTTTGAAAAACACGTAAGAGTTGGAAAAGTGCTTGAGCTTTATAACCAAACTATTACAGCATCCTCAAGTTTTTAAAACAAAATTTATCTAAAGAGTTTTAACTTAAAATGACTGCTATATTAAAATGATAATAAACTTTAAAAATAATCAGGTTTCAGTAGGTACAGTTTGTTTTATTCTGTTTCATTGATCTATGTGTCTATCCTTCTGCTAGTTCCACGAAGTCTTCTCTTATTTTGGATATTTTACATAAATGGAATCATCCAGTATATGACTGTTGTCTGGCTTCTTTCACTTAGTATAATGCTTTTTAGATTTATCCACATTATAATATGTATCAGTACTTCATTCCTTTTTTACGGTTGAATACTGTTTCATCGTATGTATGTACTACATTTATTCATTTATCCATTGAAGGATACTGGGGTTTTTTCCACCTTTTGGCTGTTATGAATAGTGTTGTTGTAAACATTTGTGCACAGGCAGTTTTTTTGAGTACCTGTTTTCAACTTTGGAGATAAATATTGAGGTGTGGAATTGCTGGGTAATGTGATAATTCTATGTTTATCTTTTTGAGAAACCACCAAATCACTTTCTAAAATGGCTGCACCATTTTACATTCCCACGGGCAATGTGCAAGTGTTTCAGTTTCTCTGTATCCTCACCAACACTTGTTATTTTCCATTCTTCTTATTGTAGCTATTCAAATGTATATGAATTGATATCTCATTGTGGTTTTGGTGTATACATCCCTAATTAGACTAATGATGTTAAGCATATTTTCATATGTTTGTTGGCCTTCTGTGTTTCTTCTTTGGAGAAATGTCTGTTCAAGTCCATTGCAGTTGTTTTTTTTTTTTCTTTTTGTAGTTGAGTTTGAGAGCTGTTTAGATATTCTGGATGGAAGACCCTTATCAAATATATGATTTGCAAATATTTTCTTCCACTCAGTAGATTGCTTTTTCACTTTTTTGATAATGTCCTTTGGTGCATAAATTTAAAAAATTCTGATGAAGTATGATTTATCTATTTTTGCCTCTTGTTACTCATGCTTTTGGTACCATGTCTAAGAATACATTGCCAAATTCAAGGTCATGAAGTTGTACCCTTATGTTTTTTTCTAAGAGTTTTGTAGTTTCAGTTCTTATATTTAGGTTGTTGATATATTTTGAATTATTACTTTTTATTGTTTGAGATAGCCTTAAAAACATTTTAAGGTTCCTGTTATATATTGAAAAACCGTTCCAAAATGGTTTTGTTGGTTTATACTGCCCTTAGGCAATACATAGCCTGTTACATTGACATATATACACTACCATGTGTAAAATGGATGGCTAGTGGGAAGCTGCTGCATAGCACAGGGAGATCAGCTCGGAGCTTTATGAAGACCTAGAGGGGTGGGATAGGGAGGGTGGGAGGGAGGCTAAAGAGGGAGGGGATATATGTATATGCATAGCTGATTCATTTTGTAGTACAGCAGAAACTAACACAACATTGTAAATCACCTATAGTCCAATAAAGATGAAAAAACAGAGTAATTATTAAATTGATAGGTTATATATAACCTAACTACTAATTGAATGCATACACACACCCCCCACACACACATCACACACATACACACAATAAGTATGGGTGTTATATTACTATGGAATAAATCACCCCAAACTTAGTGACTTAAAAAAAAAAAAATTACTGTTGTTCACAGTTTGTGTGTATCAGGAATTTGGGATGGGCTTAAGTGGGGGGTTCTGGCTTTAATGCTGTTGCAATCAGGTATCAGCTGGGGCTGCAGTCATCTGACAGCTTGACTGAGGCTGGAGGGTAGACTTCCAAGGTAGCTCTCTCACATGGGTGGGTAATTGGTGCTTGCTGACGTCATGAGGCCTCAGGTTTCTCCACATGAAACTCTCTACAGTGCTACTTGAGTGTCCTCATAACATGGTACTTGGATTATCCCAGAGTGAGTAGCGCAGAAGATAAAGAGAGAGATTTCAGTGCCTTGCCTGATCTCTCTTTGGAAGTAGCCCGTTATTTTCATCATGTATGTATATTTTTTTGTCCACAAGTCAGCTCAATTCAGTGTTGGAGGGGGCTACCAGAGGGTGAGGATTTGGGGAGACCATCTTAGAGGCTGACTAACATAGTCCCCAAATATTTCATATTCATCCTATGTGAAGTATACTCAAGGCCCCCCAAATTTTTATGCATTGCAGCCCAGCATTTTAATCAAGCAGATCAATCTCCTTAGGCATGGTTTCTTGACTGTAGTCCCTTGAGTATATTTATATATTCATATATAAAATTAAATATGCTCAATATATATCCGTATGTTTGTATCCATATAAACACTATAAAGATACACATGTATTTTAATATGTATTTAAATACCAATTTGACTATTATCCTCAGGGTTTTTTTTTTTTACTTTTATTGTGAATAACATTTATTTACTCCATTCATTTATCTTTTGTAGTCTTAGTATTTTTTTAAACATCTATGTGTATAATTCAATCATTAGTTTTATTGTCCTTTCTTTAAATATATCACTGATTTTTTGGTTTGAATTATTTTTTGACTTGGAGAAATTTTGAATTTTGTGAATTTTTATCTTTCACTTTGTTGTGTTTATTTTTGTTCTAAGCTTAGAGAAATGCCCACCAATATGATAAATATAAACTTGTATTTTTTTATTTTTATATATTTTATGCATAAACATTCATTCTATTTTAGTTGCAATTGTTTATGGTGACAAGTGATCAAAACCTCTCTTTCTAATGATCATAGTAATAAAAAGACCTATCGTTCATATGAGTGAATGTAATCATGCCCAGTCTTTGGAAGGGCAAGACTCCGAAGGGACATTTTTGAGGTATTATTGGAAAACCACCCAACACAATAAAGTGTTTCGTGAATGCCATACCTGTCCTCAGTTTCCCCATGACTATAATGAAGAGGGAAGAAATATGAATGCTTCTCAAACTTACTCAAATTTACTGTCCTGAAAAATTTCCTGGTCATGTGATAATAATCCTGCCTCTGGGATCCTGTGCAAGAGCCACTATACAGGATCTAGCACTGTTATTTTGGAGTCAGAGGAGCTTGCTGGGGAGAGCTAATTTAGTTTTATTTCCCTACTGATATTCTCAGTTTGAATCAAATATCAGTAATTTAGTGTAGGCCAAATTTAGAAAGTGTCTTTTAGGTCAACAACTGAGTTCTTCTGTGTGTAACCTGTGGGCTACCAATGTTGAATCACACTAATCTGTGGGTTACCAATGTTGAAATGCTTTATCCAGAGCTTAAGTTGGCATCATCATCGTGTCTAAGCTATGAAGAGTATGATTCTGACTTTTTTCTTAGCTTTATTTTTATTTTTTTCTTAGCTTTTTGCATGTTAACTATACTATTTTAACAAACACTACAATGATCTGCAATTCTAGTACAGTAAGTTCCCTACATATGAACGAGTTCCGTTCCAAGAGTCCAATTTGTTCATAAGTCCAACAAAGTTAGCCTAGGTACCCAACTAACACAATCGGCTATATAGTACTGTGCTGTAATAGGTTTATAATACTTTTCACACAAATAATACATAAAAAACAAACACCAAAAATAAAGAGAACATTTTTAATCTTACAGCACAGTACCTTGAAAAATACAACAGTACAACAGCTGGCATCCAGGGGCTGGCATCAAGTGAACAGGCAAGAAGAGTTACTGACAGGAGGAGGGAGAGGAGGTGGGAGATGGTAGAGCTGAAGGATCGTCAGCGATAGGAGACAGAGGGCAGGCTGCAATGTCACTCACGCCTGACGCTGATGGCACAGGTTCTGGTTCCTTGCTGGATTCACTTCTATCTACGCTCTTGGAAAAACGATCCAGTGATGTCTGGGTGGTAGCTCCTTTTTTCTCGTCATAGATGACAGAGTAGCACTGGATTGTATTCTCAACGGC